ATTACATCCTAATTATACATTGCATACATGAATTATTATCACATACTTTTTAAATAAAAAATATCGGTATTATTTTTACTTTTTTTCATAAAATTTGACAATATTTTGATAACTTAATTTTTACAAACTGTTTTCCAAAAAATATAAAATATTTACATATGTAAAAATTAAATTTTTGTAAACCTCACCATTTTTTAATTTAAAAATAATTCCTGGACACACTAATTTCAAATTTTTCAAATTGTAAAACAAAAAATCACAATTCACAAGCACTTAAAAAATTAATCACATTTTTCAATAAACAAATCTAATTAATGTAACTTTTAATTTTAATAATATATATAAAAATAAATAAAATGTATTTGTAAAATTAAACTTAGACGCTTTTGAACACGCCCGTCAGTCGTCTGGTCTTTTGTCGTTCTTGATCGTCTCTTCAAGTTTGTCAGTAGAAGGGGAAGCCCCTCTTGGTTGTATTCTTTTTTTGTAAGGATTTCTGGTGGTAGTCGTAATAAAAGTTCAGGGTACACTACATACACACTTATTCTTATATTCTTCGTCTTATAATATAGATATAGATATAGATATACATAAATATAAATATATGTATTGGTAGATAGATGGTACGCTGATACTAAATGAGACAATTGGCCAATAGCGAGCGTTAAAGTCATCCCTCGAAAACTTATCCCATATATAATACCATTGCAAGATTATCATCAGTAAATAAATGATTCTTATATTTATGTGAATAAGATATAAAATTTTTTTTTGTTCAATATTTATATCGCACGAAATATCAATCAATTTAGTTCAATTTTCATTCATTAAATACGTAGAAAAATTCTTTTTTATTATGGAGATAAAAAAATAAATATTTTTTCTTGATTTATGGATAAATTTTTTAAATTATTTTTACAATAAATTAAATTAATGAATTAAATTTAATTAGTATAAAAAGTCATACTGTATATTTATGAAGTTTATAAAAAATTTTTGATGAAAAATAAGAAAAAATTTCAACAAATATTATTACTCTTGTAAAATATTTTAATGACTTCTTTGAAATTTTATAATTTCAACCAATTAATCCAAATATGATTCATAATATAAGTATGGATGTAGCTAACGTAAAACAATTTTTATAAATAAAATACCAAAAAAAAAAAAAAATATCTCTTCAATTAATTAAACTTTTTTTAAATAATTGATTTGTTTAAAAAAATTGACAAATTAATTTTTCTACATAAAAAATATTTTATAAAAATGGATCCAAATATAAATATTGAATATAAAAAAATTCATGATCAATATCAACGAATTAACAAAACTAAAAAATTATAATATAAAATTCAAAGTCTATATGATATTAATTTGAATGAACAACTTTAAGTTAATGAAAAATAAATAAATCTACAACCTGTAACATTAAAACACGTGTTATTGTGCACTTGGCACTTGTATCTAATCCAAACACCAAAGCCAAGATCTCTACAGGCCAGACATTCTCTATTCACCTAACCCGTATACATATACCTATACTATTATTATTATCATTATATCTATTATATCCAAAGAACTAAAATTTACAATAGAATTCTCTCTGCCCGTTTGATTCTCATCCTACATAATATAATATATAAAATATATAATCTCCCTTACTAAAACTTCACGGACCGATTCCTATTAAGAGAATTCATCAGCACCCAAAAAGTATGACTTAAATTTTGGTATAACCATCACTGACCGACTAACACAAGAATGTATAATCATTTCCGTGAAAGACCATTTATAAATAACTAAAACATTAATCTTTAGCTATTTACCAAAATAAACCGACATGACTCTGAAGCAAGACTCTTCATAAATATATATGAGAAAAAAATTGGAAAAGAAAAAAAAAATCAATAAAATAAAAACACTTTCGCCACCAAAAAAATTTTCGAAAGTGTTTAATAATAATCTTATTTATCAAAAGTCCAGGGCCGTAATCTGAATCCGAGGGCGGCAAATGGCGGCCAAAAAATAACCAATCAACAAATCAATTTTTCGTACCCTAAAATAATAAATAATTACGTGAAATAAATTTTGATGGAATAATTCAAAAAATAATCATCAGTTGTTCCAGCAAACATAATAGTAAATAATATAACTAAAAAACGCTATCGAGTGACACACCCCTCACTCTCTCCACTCTCTCTTTTGTCTATCAATTAACGAATTTCAACACTGATCAATCATCTTAACTGAGAATAATCAAGCGAAGCTATAATTACATGGTAATTAGCCGTTGTATTAATAATAACAGTTATTATTGTTATCGTGGTAATAATTATTGAGTAATATAGGAGAATAAAAAGTCACTCACCTGTCAGAGACACCGGTTAAGTTTGTTTTAAAAAACTCACTAACGCAACTTCCTCGTACAAGAAACACCGTTTGACTGGTTAGGTATGCTTACTGCTGATGTTCACTCCACTCGTTACTCGTTCACTCTTTGCTTCACTCCCTGTACGTTTAATATTATTTCACTATCCGTACGCACGTATAGTACAATATAGTAAGTGAAGTGGAGTAATGTAACGACGAATGAAATTAAATGAATATCGGTGTAGTGGAGCTGTTGTCGTTCCTTCCGGCGAACACCTTCCCACCATACACTAGCTTTTACTACCACTGTCTTTCTTCAATCTTAAAACTTACAACTGAAAAATTCAATTATTCATTATTACTTAATTATTTTCAGATTCATCAACTCTAAATTTATTTATTTAACTAATTAATTCATTCATTCACTAAAATAAAAAATGTCTAAAATTTATCACTACGATTGGCAACGTGATTTATTTTTATGGACGACAAAAACAATCGATCGACTTGCGGCGTGCGTTTACTTTCTGCGCAGAATTTATGCGCAACTTTTTACCTCATTTTTTATTTTTTCTACACGTAAGTATTATTATTTATCTAAATCCATGCAGTTAAAAATAATTACTACAAATATTTAGTTTTTATTGATATTAATTATCCATTACCTTGTGTCTCGTGAATTAATCTGCCGTTTGTTTGTTTGTAATTAGCTATGGAGAAATAAAGATGGCCGACTTAGCTACAAGAGCGCGTGCGCACGCCGACAAAAGTCGCTAGCTAATTCGTGGATTTTTTTCATACCGGAGATTAGAGGAGCGGGAAAAATGGCGCCTGGGGCGGGAAATTTGAATTTTTATTCAAAGTTAGTCAGAAGAACTGAAGATGGAGACATTTGGATTATTTTTTTTCTTATATAAATTAAATTTACAGATTCAATTGTATGTAATTAACTGATAATTATTACCCAAGATATATTCCCCATCACTGTTGTGAAAATTAAGATAACTGACCACCCGAAAGAGTTATCTCAACAAAGAAGATGTACAAATGTTTTATTTTTTTTTTTTTTAGAGAGATAAACATAATTTTTTTTTTTTTTTTGTTTATACAATTTTATTCGGAGAAGTTGGTTATTAATCAATGAGCTTATCTGGCGGTGTAATTTATTATTACTACTTTGAGCTTAAACTAAAAGTTCTTGAGACGTCAATTTTTTTTTGGAGAAAATTATCTATCAAATTTAAGAATTAATAATTGGGTAAAAATTTTTTTTATACATTTGTAATGTTTTAAATTTTTTCTAATATTTAAATTTTTTATTTCAGATCTTTCATTGAAAATGTGAGAAAATAATTGATTTCAATATTTTATACAAATAGATTTTTTTCAGTACAATTAAAAATAAAATTTTTACTTGACAGAAATATTTAAAGATAAAAAATACTTTGTTTCATTCCGCAACGTCTTAATGCTTGCAAGTTATCATTAATCAACCAAAAACAAAAAATAAAACAAAGCCAATAAACTCCGGCTTTTATGATTGGGTCATTATTAAAATAAATGAATTCAAATTAAAATAACGTCCAGTGACTAGATAATACTGAAAACAATTCATTCTTAAAAGACTAATAAATAGAACAAGTATCTAATAAATTTGTTGACCAAAGTGTAAATATTAAGATAGACATTGGAGTAAGTTTTCAAATGGTTGATATCAAACACGTCAGCATGGTTGATAAGCAATTGCGAGTTGCGATAACGCTATTTGTTTCTGTAGCTGGTGTAATAGAATTTAATACAATATAATATAATATAATCTATAATTGATGGATCGTCTTGGTGAATTCATTATTCACCCAACCAACCAGTATCTCAAGAGTTGACTTGCTTTTGTATTTTTTTTTATTATATAACAACCAGTTTGGTTGCCCTCGCCGATCAGTCCCACTCCAGCAATGTAAATCGCTTCTGAATATTTAATGTTATATTATTTATTAGTCCACTTAGTCTCACCAACTGATTCGTTTCATACTCACCCATAGATCTCGCGGTTTCTTAATTTTAATTTTATTTTTTATTAATCATGAACGCTCTTAAAACACTTTTAAGAAAAGTAAGTGGTTTTATTTTATTTTTTTTTTTTTCAATTACTAAATTATTAAAAAAAAATTTCAAATTTGAAAAATTTATGCGTAATCTTAAAATATTTTCATTCGAAGAAAAAGACAGATGTTTGCTAATTTTATTGTTATTAATAATAAATTTTTAGAAAATGATCACTATAATTTGTGTTAAAAAATTGTTAATTTAATTATTTAAAAAATTTTTTTATCAGCAACCACAAAAATGGATAAAAAAAAAAAAATTCCATGTGACCGCATCTGTACTAGACCATACCCGAGGACCTTTGACCCAATTCACTGAGGACGAAGTAATGATGAAAGAGACTGGTATGATATTAAATTATTAATTACTATTTTTCAATAAATTGAGTTATTCTTAATCTGCAATGTGTTATAAATATTGAAGTAACTTGTAGTCAATTCTAATAGACATGTTTGATTGAGTCCAAGGACTCATTACGATGTTTATGTTTATGTTCATGAATAAACATTTCCATTATTACTTATATGCCTTACAACGATTCATTTTTTTTTTTTTTAGTCGCTAAATTGGCTAAGGAGCAAATAGGACCGCTGGTTAAGAAAATGGAAAAAGAAGGAAAGATTGATGACGGGGTTCTGAAGCAATTATTTGATAATGGAGTAAGAATATTACAATTGTTTTTTTTACTGTTAAATTGGAATTTTCAGTTTTAATTTATAGGACCTACGCTGATGGAAACAAATATTTGGTTAATATGTTATTAATTGGGCTTATTAGTTTCGTTGAGATAAATTAAAATATTGCCACGTATTGATATTGACTTTATTCCATGGTCAGGTTGCGCGAAGTTAAATTTTTTATTTTAATAAAATATATTAAGTAAAATAAAAATTTTTTCTAATATCATTTTTTACAATATAATAAATTAAGAAAATTGTCAAAATAAAAATTTTTCAAACGATTTCCATTTTTAAAATTTGATCTTGTTAAATAAATTAAAAAAAAAAAATTTTCAGCTAATGGGACTAGAAATATCATCGGATTACGGCGGTAGTAGTTGCAATTTCATGACAACAATTCTAGCAGTTGAAGAACTGGCCAAAGTTGATGGATCAATAGCTGCATTGGTTGACATCCACAACACTCTAGTTAATTCACTGATAATAAAAGTAGGAAATGAAGAACAGAAAGCTAAATACTTGCCTAAATTAGCCCAGGAATTTGTAAGTCTGATAAAAATATTCATTTTTAAATTGTTGGGGTAAAATGTTAACCACTGATTATTTTTTAACTTTTTTTTTTTTACAGCCGGGAAGTTTTTGTCTGACCGAACCAGGAGCTGGCTCAGACGCGTTTTCACTGAAAACAGAAGCAAAAAAAGACGGTGATCATTACATAATTAACGGCACGAAGATGTGGATTTCAAACTCTGATCTTGCTGGAGTATTCTTAGTTTTTGCAAACGCGAATCCGTCGGATGTGAGTTGGAAAAATTAGTCACACTGATTATTATAAAAAAACATAAAATAAATTAGTGCACAAAGTATATAAAACATGATATCTTATCATTAAAAAATTGAAGGCTAGAGATAAAAAAATTAGCATTATTATCATTTAATAACATTAAACATTTAAAAATTATTTTTTTAATACAGGGATATCGTGGAATTACGACATTTTTTGTGGATCGCAGCATGCCAGGCGTATCCGTAGGTAAACCAGAAGACAAATTAGGAATAAAAGCCTCAGGAACTTGTATGGTGCACTTTGAAAACGTTCGAGTACCTGCGGAGAATATTTTAGGACAATTTGGGCATGGTTATAAATACGCAGCGGGTTTTTTAAACGAAGGACGTATCGGTATTGGCGCTCAGATGATTGGTATTGCTCAAGGATGTCTTGATGCAACTATTCCGTACACTCTTGAACGTAAACAGTTTGGAAGTGATATTTTCTCATTTCAAGTAAGTTCAATAAATATTTAATACAATTTTTTAAATAAGCGCAAATTAAAAAATTTCCAAATTGCAAATGAACAAATTAATTATTCAGAAAAATTAAAATTCATAGATTTTTGAAACCTTTGAGTTTATTTTTATAAATATTTAATTTCTTCACTTTTAACTTGAAAATTTTCTAATTTTGTAACATTTACATTTATTTAAAAAATTAAAACAAAATATTAATTAATTATTATTATTAAATATTATTAATAAATATTAATTAATTAAAACAAAATAAATTAATTTCAGTCGATGCAACATCAAATAGCCCAAGTAGTAACAGATTTAGAAGCTGCAAGATTATTGGTTTATAATGCAGCAAGAATGGTTGAAGCTAAACAAGATTTCGTGAAAGAAGCTGCGATGGCTAAACTTGTTGCTTCAGGTATTGTTGACTTAAATTATTCAATACGCGTAATTATTATTAATAATTAATTATTTTTTGTAGAAACTGCATTAAAAGTAACAGCCAAGTGTATAGACTTCATGGGCGGTGTAGGTTTCACAACTGATTTTCCACAAGAAAAATACTTCCGTGACTGTAAAATCGGGACAATTTATGAAGGAACAAGCAATATGCAATTATCAACAATTGCTAAACAGATCCGCAAAGCATACTCATAAAAAGGTCGATGCTAAAAAAATGAATGATTTAAATAATTATTAATTTTTAAAATAAAATATAATAGTATAATACGTAAAAATTTATTGCAATCTACATACTAATTTTTTTTTTATACACATCATAATAAAACTGCATATGAATAATAAAGTATTTGTTATTTACTTTGGATCGTGGGGAAGTTTGAAACCGACCAGATCAGCAGTCTCGCGAACAGTGCGCTCTCCAGCTCCAGCGTACTGGGTGTTAATTTCATTATAAGTTCTCAGAGAACTTAAATAGCAATTATAAGTAGTCGCCAAGTGAAGCAATTCCTCACGAGCTTTGCAAAGCGTCTCGGAAGTTTCCTTATGTGCTCTAGCCTGCTCCATGATGTAACGCACGACAATGTTGTCCTTTATTTTACTTTCACTGGATGTAAGACGGATTTCACGTAACAGCGAACGGATTAGTTGCAAATTTGAATTCATTTTTAAATCTGAAATAAATAATTTTATGTTGTTATTTAAGTGATTTAAATAAAATTTAATGATACAATTACAAAATTTTTATTTTTGAATAATACTATTTTTTACTGTTGTGAATTATTTTAGTTTCGTTTATCAAAATTTAAGTAAATAAGAAGTTTTCTTGGATTTTTATGGAACATGAGTATAAGTATGAAGTTTTTTAAAAGATGCATTGAAAGAAGTCTTAGTTTTAATTATACCTGAATATTGCAATAGAAAATTAAGAAAAAAAAGAAACAATTAAGTTGTTGTTTTTGAATAAAAAAAATTGTTCGAATTTCTAGATAAAAAAATTAAACTAAATTTAAAAAAAAAATATGAAATAAAAACTTTTTTAGCTTTTAAATTTCAAAATTTTTAGTAAATTAATTCCTAGTACAGTAAAAGACCCCATTAGTGGCACCTTTTCTTTCAATGAAGAAATGGTCTACTTGGAATAAAAATTAAAAATTTTTTTGATCTAAAAGTCTTAAAGATTAGAAATAATATATTCATTATTAAAATTAATGATTTCATTAATTGAATAAGTATTAAAATTAAAGAAAGTGTCAGTAATAAGGTCTTTTACCCTATGTAAATTTGTCAAAAATTTCAATTCTCTCCAGAATTTAAAAATCCATTATTCATAAACAAAAAATTTTAAAAAAGTTTAATGAAATTTTTAATTCAAATTTTTCAAAATACTTTATAATACCTCAATTTAAAATTATTCATCATCGAAACTCCTGGAATTAAAATATAAGTTTCAAATAGTTCAAAAAAAAAAAAAAAAATTTGATTAGAAATCCCAAACTAATTATTTAAAAGAATGTAAATTATTAAGACGAAAAAAATATAAAAATGATCAAATTTCACTCAACAAAAAAGGTCAATTTACCAAACAAAATCCAACAAATCAAAGCTCACGCCCGGCATCATCAGGTCGATAAGGTAACCCGGGCAAAGCGGCCCAGAAGTCTCCGGAGACCGCGTCGAGCCGTGACTTAGTAAAAAGATGAATGGAAGTAGAATTAAATGCGTTAGCCATATAATGTTGATCGTCGTCAAAAGACTCATCAAGGACAATCTCATGAGCAAGAGTAGCGGCTTTCTTAATCAGCTGAAGAGCCTCAGGGTACCCGGGATCGTCAACTGCGTCTAAACCGATTCCACTGTTGAAATCGTCGACCATAGTTTTAAAGCTGTTTGTCACCAGTATACAATTATTCAGATCAGCGCCCCAGTTTGCGTAGATGCAATTGGCGATCAATCCCTTAAACAAGTGCGGCATGTAAAATAAAGTCAGTGTGTCGTCGTTGACCGGTCTCACGGCCTGTTCATTGTTGGGAATAATCGATAGCCCCAGTATTTTAAGCACTTCCAATTCTTGGGGATAAAATACCGGGTCGTAAATGAAGACTTGGCTCTTATATCGGGATTTAATGGTGAGTAATGCCGCAAGCTGATGCTTCGAGGAACGGCATTGTGAAAAATTTCCCAAACCGTAGCAAACTATTTCTGGTATTGCGTCACGATCTAATATCGAGAGTGTTTCCGATAAACCATCGTAGAGTGTTTGCCGGTAAGGCGAGTTACGCAGGACTATCACGGCATCGAGAATCGAGCTGAAAAAAAAATAATTTAGAGGCTGAATCTCGGATTTAGAGGTTAGGCGTGAGCTCGTCATGTTATTTTGCTTTTTGCTTGGTAAAGTATAATTTCATTAATTCTACTTTATATAGTGGGTGTTATTTATGTGGTAAAATATTAATTTATTGATGGGTACGTACCGTATTAACTGCTCCGTATTTATTTCAGGAGCGTCTAGGACTTCACCCGGGAGTAATGGAATTATCCGGCGACGACGTCCAGGTCTTCTTCTTCTGACAACTTGGAACTCATCTAGTCCAGGCATATTTTTATATATGCTACGTATTGTATGTTGTATGTACAATAAGCACAGTTGGTTCGGAGCACGGAGTAGACGTCTGCTCGATAATCTTCGGTTTTTTCCCCAACTTAATAATAATTGTTCCGCCAAATCGATTAAGTTGTGACAGCTGATGGTAAAACGATGTTGTGTTGTGCGCGGTAGGTAGAAAAGATTGTTAGGAACATCAATACCGCACTTTTCGATTGTTGACAAAATAATGCAACTGCAGTTGCACTTAGTTTTCTAAAATTTCTATGAAAATTAATTTAGTAGATATTTTGTAATTTTAAGAATTTTTGTAACAAGTACATTATGGTAAAAAAAAAAAAAATTGACAGAAATTTTAATAAATTTATTTATTTATTACAAAGAGTTGAGGAAAATATACAAAGCCTGAAATTTTAATAAATTAAAAATGCAATTTTTTAAAAATAATTTTTCGGAACACATTTATTTGTAAAATAAAATTAAAAAAAAAAAAAAAAAAAAAAAAATGGTTTAGTGACAGCTAACTTTTATGTCATAAAATTTCTGCATGTGGATTTTTTTGTTCATTGAAAAATTATTGTTTTTTATTAATTGTAATTAAACGAGACTGAATTGCCTATAGCCATTCGCATTCAGTGACCTACAATCCTCACTTAGAATTAAAAAAAAAAATTTAACCCAAATAATGGGGATTTTCTCGCAAGTTATAGTTGTTCAATAAATACATTTTGAGCTTGAAGAGCTCAAATTTTAACCAAAAAACACATTTTAAGGCGCTTCAAATTCAAACTTAGTGGGAAGTTCTAGGATTGACCTGCGCGGTCAAACGATTTCCAGATTTTTTAATGAACAAATTATTGTAGAAAAAAAAACTATGAGTACAATTAAAAAAAAAATATTTATTTAATTTCTAAAACTCTAAAAATAATCAGGTATTTTTTTAATTTCATAAAATAAATCTAGGTGAATAAAAAATAAGAAAATTGCTATTAAATAATCTTAAATTGAGAATCAATTGCTCCAGTATCTTGTAAATGTGTATTTCCACATCTTCAAAAGTCACAAATCCAATTCACTTAGAAGTTATCGAAGGATTGCTTTCAAAACCGAAAATTGGATTGAAACAATGATTTGAAATCAGCAAGTGAAAAACAATGCAAATTACTGGATGACTAAGCCGGCTCCAGGTACTAAGGCGGCTGCGTATCAAATAACATCCTCTTAATAAATTCATCAGCAATTAAAAATCACCGTGCCGTGACGACGTCATTGTAATGATCAGCAAACAACATCAAGCCGTTTGTGTGCTAATATAACGGAAAAAAAAAAAAAAAAAATGGATTTAATACAATTATAATTATCAATCACTAAGCAAACAAAAAAATCTCTGAATTAAGAGAAAACACCAAACAAAAGTATTTAATTGTAATTGATTTAGTCTGAAAAAATACTTATAATTGTAATATGTAATAATATGTAATATTTAAAATATTTTTGTAAAACACATAATTGTGATACAAATAAAACTCTTAACTAACTAACTTAATTGTAATTGAATTATATCTATCATACCTTGATAATGTAAAAATCTTATCGGTCATGCCCGACCAAGGGGATCTTTGTCGTATTTTATCAGACCAGACTTGTATACTCTCATAGCGTGTGATAAATTTTTACTTTTATCACTAGCAAATATCCGATTTTTGCATCAATTCATTGCACATTTTTTTCTACCTCAATCCAAGCATATATATGTCTAAGTATAGAAAAAAAAACTCGTCTGCCGAATAATTTTATCCTCAACATAAATTGATAACCGGAAAATTATAAGTTTAAAAATAAATGTCATATTCTGTGGAGTACCGAGAAGACGGACGGAGGATCTTGATTGCAAATTGCTTCAAGGCAAATAGACCTGTTATGTTCAGTAGTTGTAAGCATCAAATGTATTATTATTAAATCTCGAATGTTCAATCATCTTCAATTTTTTTTTTTATATTTATGAGCTCTACACTCACTGATATTAAATTATCTTAATTACACAATATATCTACAGAAAATATATTATTAATTATTTTATTTATAGATTAATTATTTAAATAAGTTACTTTAGAGCAGAGATATTTAAAATCAATTACTCTCATATGCTTTGCATGATATATGTTTATTAAATTTTGTCATAAATTGCTGCAAAATCCAAAGCAATGAATTTTAATCAAGTTTTTGTTAATTAGCAAACAATTTAGAGCAACGAAAATTCCGAGTAAATATTTACTTTATATCTCCCATACATTCTTCTGTAATACACAAATTTTGTCTAGTGATTATAAGTCTTATCAGTTGTTTTGTCAATTTAATTATGTGAGTTGTGAAGCAAATATTTTTCTCGTGCATAATCATGTTTGATTGTTCTCTTTGTGTATAAAAATAAGTTTTTGATAAGTTTTGATAAACATTATAGAGTAAACATAAATAAGTAGTATAAATAAGTGTTCTACAATAATTTTTACATTTTTGATATTTAAATTTCTTTTAAAAAGAAAAACTAGAACAAAAATCATTTTTAATTTCATTGAGAAGAAATATAATTGTGTAGATTTTTAAATTATAAAAAAAAAAACATTTCCTGTCAACTTATTATTTACATTTAAATGGAAACTTTTATTTGTTATTCAAAGATTATTTATTTTCTGAGTTCAGCTAAGATTTTCTTCAGTCAAGATATGTTATTTGTTTGTATCAAGATTAAATTTTCTCATGTTATTCAAAGTTGATAAATTTATTAAACGTAACATTTTTTTTTATCAATAAAATTAATTTGTTATAATTAAAAACAAAATACTTTATAGTAAATTACATCAATTTTTAGTTAATTTATCTATTTTAATTAATCAAGTGAAATTTTTTTTTTTATAAGATTGAAAATGAATTTTTTCTTCAAGTTTTTTGCACAATTAAATATTTTTTAATATTTTCAATTCCTGATTAAGAAATTTAATTTGAAGTAATCAAAAACAATACAAAATAATTTAAGTTGAAATATATTTTGCATGGATTGAATCATATTTCAAATTAGATTTCTTCATCTGGGATAAACTAAAAAAAAAAGAAATAACAAATTTTTTGACTAGGATCAAGTATTTATAATTAAATTTCAGTATCACATTTATATGATGATTATTATTATTATTCATTATCATCATTTTATAAACTCACTGTCAGTAATATAATTCCTCTAAGCCACAATACTAATCCGGTCGTTTGAGCCTCTGAATCATTAATAATATTCGATGCTGTTAATTCGAGGCCTCTCTTATTATATTACTCCGGAAGCGTTATGTTATTAGAATTCAATCTATGACTCACTAAAAAATATAATAATAAATCTATTTTAAACCAATTTTTGTGACTTAGCAATAAAATTTTTCCAAATAACTAGTTTGCCAGCGTCTATTGTTTCAATAATCGCCTCTAATTACAAAAGTCCTCATTGAAGAGTTAGAATTATTCTCTTTTTTTTAAATAAAAAAATACAGAGATAAATAATTTCACTGTATAAATATAAATTTATTGTAAAAATAATAAATAAATTATCAGTAAACTTCCGGCCTACTTACAGCTCACCAATTTCCATTCTATTCAGTCTCGACATTTTTCCATTCGCGAATATTTACAGCGACATACAATAATTGATTCAAGTCTCGCGCCTGATTGTTTCGTACCAGGTGCAATGCAGGTGTGAACGGATGTTATAATATAATATAATAAATACAATTCTTTTTTTCTTTCTTCATTCATACTTGAAGCCCATCCGTAACTAATGAAACCACTGTTTGCCAATAATAAATACAAATCACTTCATCTCGTTGTTTGAACGCGTAAAAACGCAGCTTTAGTTGATATAAATTCTAATTAAGAAGATATTAATATTCAAATCACATAAGATTATATAATTAGAAGCGTCCACCTAAAAAAGCTTAACTGATGATCAAATAATTAAATCAATTTATTATGTAACAATAATAATAATAATGATTAATTTTGATGTGATAAAATCAACTCGTGAAGATGATAAATAACAGGTGTACTAATTGTCATTTAGTAATAGATATTAGGAACAAATAATCAATAATGATAATAATAATAATAATAATAATAATAATAATAATAATAATAATATGCAAGTCTACAATAAATTTCTTTTATTCATCGTGTCAAGTCGGCAGATAATTATGTCCGTCTGACGAGAATACGAATGATAAGGAAGCTATTCTTGAGTGGAAGTGTAGTGAAATAAAATAAAACAAAAGGATTGCATCAAAAATATTGTTGTTATTATTTTACGCAAATTTTTTCAAGCATGGTTGAACATCCTGTGATGTCACAGTAATTATTTAGAGGAAGAAAAAATTTAGTAGTATTACAAAAGAAACATATTAAATTATATATTTTACAGTTGTGGTCACGATATATCAATATTCGCATTTCCTTTTTGTTTGCTCTTTCTCTTTTATACGTGACCAATTTTTTTAACTGGATAAATTTATGAGTTGCGTTGGAGTTATTGAAATTATTTGAGGAAATATAAAAATCTAAGTGCAACAAATTTAGAATGACTTTAAGAGTTTTGTAGAAAAATAAATTAGTAATGAAAATAAAGTTAGCCGACATTAAAAAATTTTTAGAAATTTTTTTATTGAAAAAATTTCAATTAAACAATTAAAAAAAAAAATTTCACATGTAAAAAACTCGAAAAACTATAAGTGCAATTTTTTATAAATATATTTTTAGTTGTAATTTAATTAATAAAAATAAATCAAAAATTTTTAGACGTCTGCTAACTTTTAGTAACTAAAAAATTAAACTTATAAAAATTAAAATACAACGTTTTTTTGTTTTAATTTTTTCAAAATTTTATAAATATTACTGTTGAACTCTGGCCAGAAACTCCATTTGCATCTATATTAAAACGTATTGAATTTAATTTTAAATTTTGTATCAGATAGATAAAAAAGACGTCCTCGATTTAAATTCAATTACTAAATTTTAAATATACGTGAAAGCATTTATATAAAAATTGACAATTTCATTTAAAAATAATCAACAAAAATGTGTTTTGAAACTTCTGATAAAACGTTTGTTATCCAACAAAAAATAACACCTCGCGTGATTTCTCAGTCTTTGCTTTCCCAAGATCAGTTTAGTTTCACGACTTACTTATTTTTATT